CGTTGGGCTGTGTGGGGGGGTTTTGGGAGACTGGTGGGGTTGTGGGAGGGTTGATCTATTTTATATTATTATATATATATGGGGCGGGGGAGGGGTGATAATGGTTGTGTGTGGGGGTAGATGGGGGGGATTTTTTTGTATGTATTTTAAGCTGTAGATTGGGGTTGATTGGTCCTGTGATTACCCCATTTAAATCTTAACGCACCTTTTTTATCTCTCACCTGCCCGTCATTTGATTTATTGTATTTTTTTTTTTTGGTTTTTTTTGTTTTTTTTTTTTATTTTGGGCTTATGTTGTTGGGTTCTGTTGGTGTCCTTAATCGTGTTAGTCTTTTTACTTTTTTGTTTCAATTGGAGAGTCTTTTTTTTATCGCATTGAGGGCCTGGTGTTCACAAAAAAAAAAAAAAAAAAAACCCCCACCTTTGTTCTTCGGGGCTCATGGTTCTTGTAGCTGGGGGTGGGGGGGGGTGGGGTTTCTATTGGGGTTTCTGGTAAGGTTGCGTTTCTGCACTGTCCCTTGACCTTGGTGTTATGCTACCTGGGCATATTGCTGTTCTGGTGTTGGTCTCATACCCAATAGTGTCAGTGTAACGTATGTCGGTGTATGTCAGTTGCACGTTTGTCAGTGTACTGTAGTTAGGCAGCCCAGCTCTTGCGATTTGGATTCAATGTCAGACACCAACGTCTCACCCTGCAGGGGGCGGGCGAGTCTAATCCCATCATGATGGACTCTTGTGACATGATATCTTCCACTGCTATCACTGCACTGCTTCTGTTGAGTTGCACAATCCCCTGGTGATCTGTTCTACCAATTTGATTGTTATGCATTTGTATTTTTGCTGAGTTGCACCGTGTGAGTAACGTTCTAGGCCAGCGATTTATGTGGTTGTTGTCTGTATGTAGCGTGAATCACCGCAATAGAAGCACACGGACAAATGAATGGGGCATGATTCTCCCCTGACACCAGTATGATGGTGTATGATGTGATTGCCTCCCTAATGACACCAATGAGCGGGATTAGTCGCACTAAAATAATCCTCTCACTGACACCAATGAATACTTCTTGTTCTCTCCCAGCCGGGACGTATGTCTTCCTACTGACAGCAATGAATGTAGGAATCTTTTGTTCTGGATTCTTTTATTTTAAGGTGCGAACGAACGTCCTTCTTGGTGTGATCAACGCGCTGCATGAAGGCGCAGCTATTCCTCCCACTGACCAGAGACCACATCATCTGCAACTGTTAGGGCACTATTGAGCCAGCCCCGCGTCTCCAATGTCTGACACCAATTCACCCACATAGATAAGGCGCACTATTCTCTTCAGATGGACTTACTATATACATATAAATATGATGGGCACTTATTCCTCCCACTGCAACCAATGGATGGGGCAATATTCCTCCCCACTGGACACCAATGATAGGGGCACAATGGCGGCACATTCTCCCACTGACACCAATGAAGGGTGCACTCTTCCTCCCCTGATACCAATGATGGGGCACTATACCTCCCACTGATAACCAATGATGGGGCAACAATTACTCCCACTGACACCAATGATGGGGCACTATTCTCCCACTGACCACCAAAGATGGGGCACAAATACTTCACACTGACACCAATGAAGTAGGGCACTATTCCTCCCACTGACACCATTGTATGGGCTCAAGTCCTCCCACTGACACCAATGATGGGGCATATTCCTCCACTGATACCAATGAATGGGGCCACTGATACCTCCCTCTGACACAATGATGGGGGCACTATTCTCCACTGCACCAATGATGGGCATATTCCTCACTGACACCAATGATGAGGCACTATTCCTCCCACTGATCACCGGGGGGGGGGAATGATGGGGCACTATTCCTCCCACAGACACTGAATGATGGGGCACGAATTCCTACCCACAGATACCAATGATGGGGCACTAGTCTCCCATGACACCAAGATGGGGCACTATTCCTCCCACAGATACAAACATGGGGACACAATACCTCCCACTTTATGACCAATGATGAGGGCAACTATACCTCCCCACTGACACCAATGATGGGCACTATTCCTCCACGACACTAATGGATGGGGCACTATTCCTCCCACTGATTACCAATGAAGGGACACTATTTCCTCCACTGATAACAAATCATGGACACTTTCCTCCCACTGAACACCAGTGATGGGGCACTATGCCTCCCACTGACACCAATGAGGGGCACTATTCCTGCAGGGGCACCAATGATGGGGCATATTCTTCCACTGACACAATGATGGGCCATTATTCCTCCACTGACACTAATGATGGGCACTAATGACACCAGTAGCGCTTTTCACTGACACCAATGACTTACCCCCCCCTTCTCTATTATTGGAGCAGATTGATTCTGTGTGCTCCTGTGCCTCATTCGAAGTCTTGAACCTCTCTCTAGGTTGCACGGACGACATCATGACCAGCGACCATTCTCCGGTCTTTGCATCGTTCGAGGTCGGGGGTGACGTCGCAGTTCGTCTCTAAGAAAGGTGATCGATCCCGGAAGGTACTGCGACTCGTTGTGGGAGGAGTTTTTGTCCCATGAGCTGACGCTTGTTTCCACGCAGGTTTACTGAAGCCGTCAGATCAGGCCTACATAGAGTTCGAGAGCATCGAGGCCATCGTGAAGACCGCCAGCAGGACCAAGTTCTTCATCGAGTTCTATTCCGGCTGCCTGGAAGGTGAGTTGCCCCAGGGGGTGAAATCCTGAGCTCCTGCCCTCCGCTTCTCAGATTTCGTTGTTTCATCATCAGCACGAGGGGTTTAAAGGGACAGTCCACCCGTAAGCAGCATTTTAGTTGTAGGGCAGTCTGGTGGGCGTGGTCACCTGCTGACCTTGAGGGTCTCCCACCATCATCTCACATTTAGTTAGTTGGGAAGCAGGGAGTGATGGGATTGGTTCGATGTATTGGGAGAAAACCCTACAGAGACCAGGTATACCGATCTGTCCTGCTAGGGGGCGCACCACCCAATACTTCTATAGTATGAGCCTTGTGGTGGATTCTGTGTCATCACATAATGAGGACTGACTTGGGGTGGTACCAATGAAAATGAACGGTCAGCTTGCCATGGCCACTCCAAACTTGTACCCAGGTTTTCCCCTCTAGAACAGGGGTCTCCAGACTTTCTAAGCCAAGGGCCAGGCTACTTTAGGCTTTAGGGGGGGGCAGACTGTGGCCAGTGGGAGTTACCCATGCACCATCATTGGGTTTAATAGTAGGAAGTATGCCCTAATGTTGGTGTCAGTGGGAGGAACAGTGCCCAATCATTGGTTTTAATGGGAGGAACTGTGCCCCATCATTGGTGTCATTGGGAGGAATAGTACCCCATCATTGGTATCAGTGGGAGGAATAGTGTCCCATCATTGGTGTCAGTGGAGGAATAGTGCCCTATCATTGGTGTCAGTGGGAGGAATAGTACCCCATCATTGGTATCAGTGGGAGGAATAGTACCCCATCATTGGTATCAGTGGGAGGAATAGTGTCCCATCATTGGTGTCAGTGGGAGGAATAGTGCTCCATCATTGGTGTCAGTGGGAGGAATAGTACCCCATCATTGGTGTCAGTGGGAGGAATAGTACCCCCATCATTGGTATCAGTGGGAGGAATAGTACCCATCATTGGTGTCAGTGGGAGGAATAGTGCCCATCATTGGTGTCAGTGGGAGGAATAGTGTACCCCATCATTGGTATCAGTGGGAGGAATAGTGCCCATCATTGGTGTCAGTGGGAGGAATAGTGCTCCATCATTGGTGTCAGTGGGAGGAATAGTGTCCCATCATTGGTGTCAGTGGGAGGAATAGTGTCCCATCATTGGTGTCAGTGGGAGGAATAGTGTCCCATCATTGGTGTCAGTGGGAGGAATAGTGCCCCATCATTGGTGTCAGTGGGAGGAATAGTGCCCATCATTGGTGTCAGTGGGAGGAATAGTGCCCCATCATTGGTATCAGTGGGAGGAATAGTGTCCCATCATTGGTGTCAGTGGGAGGAATAGTGCCCCATCATTGGTGTCAGTGGGAGGAATAGTGCCCCATCATTGGTGTCAGTGGGAGGAATAGTGCCCCATCATTCCCAATGGGGTTGAGGTCAGGACTCTGTGCAGGACAGTCAAGTTCCTCCACCCCAAACTGGCTCCTCCATGTCTTTATGGACCTTGCTTTGTGCACTGGTGCGCAGTCATGTTGGAACAGGAAGGGGCCGTCCCCAAAACTCCTCCCACAAAGTTGGGAGCATGAAATTGTCCAAAATGTCGCCTTAAGAGTTCCCTTCACTGGAACTAGGGGGCCAAGCCCAACCCCTGAAGAACAACCCCACACCATAATCCCCCTCCACCAAACTTTACACTTGGCACAATGCAGTCAGGCAAGTACCGTTCTCCTGGCCACCGCCAAACCCAGACATGTCCATCGGATTGCCAGACAGAGAAGCGTCATTGGTCACTCCAGAGAACATGTCTCCTCTGCTCTAGAGTCCAGTGGCGGCGTGCTTTACACCACGGCATCCGACGCTTTGCATTGCACTTGGTGATGGAAGGCTTGGATGCAGCTGCTCGGCCATGGAAACCCATTCTATGAAGCTCTCTACGCACTGTTGTTGGGCTCATCTGAAGGCCACACCAAGTTTGGAGGTCTTTAGCTATTGACTCTGCAGACAGTTGGTGACTTCTGCGCACTGTGCGCTTCAGCATGCGCTGACCCCGCCCTGTCATGTGACGTGGCCTACCACTTGGTGGCTGAGTGGCTGTTGTTCCCAGTTGCTTCCACTTTGTTATAATCCCACTAACAGTTGAGCGTAGAATATTTAGTAGCCAGGAAATGTCACGGATGGACTTATTGCCCAGGTGGCCACCTATCACGGGACCACGCTTGGAGTCACTGAGCTCCTGAGAGCGACCCATTCTTTCACCAATGTTTGTAGAAGCCGTCTGCATGCCTAGGGGCTTGATTGTATACACCTGTGTCCATGGAGGGGATTGGAGCACCTAAATCACATGATTGGGAGGGGATTGGAACACCTGAATCACATGATTGGGACGGGATTGGGACACCTGAATCACATGATTTGGAGGGGATTGGAACACCTGAATCACATGATTTGGAGGGGATTGGAACACCTGAATCACATGATTTGGAGGGATTGGAACACCTGAATCACATGATTTGGAGGGGATTGGAACACCGGAATCACATGATCGGGGGGGATTGGGACACCGGAATCACATGATTTGGAGGGGATTAGAACACCGGAATCACATGATCGGGAGGGGATTGGGACACCTGAATCACATGATTGGGAGGGCGGGGCCAATACTTTGGGCAATATAGTGTGTGTCGGATATTTTGCATGAATGTCTTTTTCTTTCCCTATGGTTACATTGATGCGATGACACGCGGTACGTTTTGTTCATAACAGAATATAAGAAAAGCAGCGAGAATGACAGCCAAAGTGTCGACAACGTCAACTTCCTCAAAGTCCAGTGGTCATCCAGGCAGCTCCCGACGGTAAGTGACCCTGCCTGTAAGTGACCCTATACACACACACACATATATATATATATATATATATATGTATATATATATATATATATATATATGTTGTGTGTGTGTATATATATAAAATAATAAAAAAAAATATATATTATAATAGTAATAATTATTATTCATAATAATAATAAATAAATCTATATATGTGTGTATACAGTGGATATAAAAAGTCTACACGCCCCTGTTAAAATGCCAGGTGTCTGTGATGTAAAAAATTGAGACAAAGATAAATAATTTCAGAACTTTTTCCACTTTTAATGTGACCGATAAACTGTACAACTCAATTGAAAACTAAACTGAAATCATTTAGGTCAGGGGTGGGCAACTGTGGCCCTCCAGCTGTTGGTGAACTACAAGTCCCATCATGCCTCTGCCTTTGGGAGTCATGCTTGTAACTGTCAGTTTTGCAATGTCTCATGGGACTTGTAGTTCTACAATAGCTGGAGGGCCACAGTTGCCCACCCCTGTTTTAGGTGGAGGGAAGTAAAAATAAAAAACTAAAATAATGTGGTTGCATAAGTGTGCACACCCTCGTATAACTGGGGATGTACCTGTGTTCAGAATTTAGCAATCACATTCAAAATCCTGTTAAATAGGAGTCAGTACACACCCACCATCATTGAAAGTGCCTCTGATTAACCCCAAATAAAGTTCAGCTGTTCTAGTCGGTCTTTCCTGACATTTTCTTAGTCGCATCTTACAGCAAAAACCATGGTATGCAGAACTTCCAAAGCATCAGAGGGATCTGATTGTTAAAAGGTATCAGTCAGGAGAAGGGGACAAAAGAATTTCCAAGGCATTAGATATACCATGGAGCACAGTGAAGACCGTCATCAACAAGTGGAGAAAATATGGCGCAACAGTGACGCCACCAACAGTGACGCCACCAACAGTGACATCACCAACAGTGACACCACCAACAGTGACGCCACCAACAGTGATGCCACCAACAGTGACGCCACCAACAGAGACGCCACCAACAGAGACGCCACCAACAGTGACATTACCAACAGTGACATCACTAAGAACTGGACGTCCCCCCCAAAATGGATGAATAGACGAGAAGAAAACTGGTGGCCAAGAGGCCCACAGCAACGTGAGCTGCAGGAATATCTGGCAAGTCCTGGCTGTGTGGTCCATGTGACACCAATCTCCCCGTGTTCTTCATATGTCTGGGCTATGGGGGGAGGAGTGACAAGATAGAAGCCTTTTCGTGTGAAGAAAAACATCCAAGCCCGGCTAAATTTTGAAAAAACACATCTGGTCTCCCAGAAGCATGTGGAGAAACGTGTTCTGGTCTGATGGAACCAAGGATGGACTTTTTGGCCGTAATTCCAAAAGATACATTTGGCACAAAAACAACACTGCCCATCACCAAAAGAACACCATACCCACCGTGAAGCATGTGGTGGCAGCCTCATGCTTTGGGGCTGTTATTCTTCAGCTGGAACTGGGATCTTAGTCAAGGTAGAGGGAATTATGAACAGGTCCGAATACCGGTCAATATCGGCACAAAACCTTCAGGCTTCTGCTAGAAAGCTGAACATGAAGAGGAACTCCATCTTTCAGCATGACAACCACCCAAAGCATCCATCCAAATCCACAAAGGAATGGCTTCACCAGAAGAAGATGGAAGGTTTGGAATGGCCCAGCCAGAGCCCAGACCTGAATCCCATGGAAGATCTGTGGGGTGATCTGTAGAGGGCTGTGCGCAGGAGATGATACGCAAATCTGACAGATTTGGAGTGTTTTTGCAAGGAAGAGCGGGCAAATATTGCCGAGTCAGGATGTGCCGTGCTGATAGACTCCTCCCCAAAAAGACTGAGTGCCGGAATCACATCAAAAGGGGCTTTAACAAAGGATCAGTGTAAGGGTGTGAACACTTACGCAACCAGATTATTTTTGTTCAGTACACCAAGTCAGCCCCCCCAGTGTCAGAATGCCCTCCGCAGTCCCGCTATAACTCGCTGATCTCCGCCATTACTAGTAAAACAAAAACAAAATTCCAGTATCTATCCCGCCATTTGTAGACGCTATAACTGTCATGCAAACCAATTAATTTACACATTTTGGGAATTTTTTTGGAGCTGAATACATTTTGACCTAAATTTATGCCGAAATTAGATTTTTTTTAAATTTTTTTATTGGGCATGTTTATTAGTAAAAAATATTGTTTTTTTTTTTCTCAAAATTGTTGGTCTCAAAATTTTTTTTTTTTTTTTATAGTGCAAAAAATGGCCTGGTCGGAAAGGGGGAAGGGGGGGCCCTCTGGAGGGCAAGGGGTTAATATGTTCCCTAATCCTCACGTGTAAAGGTCTAGAGATACGCCCAACATACTGAAGTGAACAATTGCACTCCATCATATACACCACCCCTTCAGTGGTACACGTGATGAGGAAATGCATAGCATGTAGAACACCGAAAGTTAATCAAAAAAGAATTTGTGGATTTAAGGCAATAGCCTCAGATTCCTCCTATAAATTGAAGGACTTCATCACGTGTACCATTGGAGAACTTCATCACGTGTAACACTGGAGGACTTCATCACGTGTACCTCTGCATGACTTTATTACGTGTACCACTGGAGGACTTCATCACGTGTACCTCTGGAGGACTTCATCACGTGTACCATTGGAGGATTTCATCATGTGTACCTCTAGGGGACTTCATCACATGTACCACTGGAAGACTTCATCATGTGTACCACTGGAGGACGTCATCATGTGTAGCACTGGAGGACATCATCATGTGTACCACTAGAGGACTACATCACGTGTACCACTAGAGGACATCATCATGTGTACCACTGAAGCACTTCATCATGTGTAGCACTGGAGGACGTCATCACATGTAGCACTGGAGGACGTCATCACGTGTAGCACTGGAGGACGTCATCACGTGTAGCACTGGAGGACGTCATCACGTGTATTAGAGGACTTCATCACGTGTACCACGGAAGTTTCATCACGTATACCACGGGAGGACTTCATTACATGTAGCACTAGAGGACTTCATCACGTGTATCACTGGAGGACGTCATCACGTAGCACTGGAGGACGTCATCACGTGTAGCACTGGAGGACGTCATCACGTGTAGCACTGGAGGACCATCACGTGTACCATTAGAGGACTTCATCACGTGTACCACGTGAAGATTTCATCACGTATACCATGGGAGGACTTCATTACTTGTACCACTAGAGGACTTCATCACGTGTATCACTGGAGGACGTCATCACGTGTACCACTGGAGTGGTGGTGGATATAATAAAAAAAAATAATTTGTGGGTTTAAGGCAACAACCACAGGTTCTTCCTATAAATTGAAGGACTTCATAGCGTGTACCACTGGAGGACGTCATTGCGTGTACCACTGGAGGACGTCATCACTTGTACCACTGGAGGACGTCATCGCGTGTACCTCTCAGCGTCATTATGTGTACCACTGGAGAAATTCATCACGTGTACCAGTGTAGGGGTGGTGGATACAATCAAAAAATTATTTGTGGATTTAAGGCAAAAGCCACAGGTTCCTACTATAAACTGAAGGACTTCATCACGTGTACCACTGGAGGAGTTCATCACGTGTACCACTGGAGGAGTTCATCATGTGTAACACTGGAGGGTTCATCACGTGTACCACTGGAGGACTTCATCACGTGTACCACTGGAGGAGTTCATCACGTGTAACACTGGAGGGTGTCATCACGTGTACCACTGGAGGACTTCATCATGTGTACCACTGGAGGACTTCATCATGTTCACTGGAGGGTGTCCATCATGTGTACACTGGAGGACTTCATCATGTGTAACACTGGAGGGTGTACCACTGGAGGACTTCATCATGTGTAACACTGGAGGGGTGGTGTATATGATGGAGTGCCCTTGTTCACTTCAGTATGTTTGATACCTCTACCAGCCAGACTCCATCTGCTTCACTGATTTTTGCAGGCCATACACGGGTCGAATTCAGAACAAATTTTCCTTAGAAAATCAGAAATTTTGTGTGTTTTGTAACCCGATGGCGCCACCATTGATTTCAAAATTCAGCCAACCGAGCCGTCAGTTCCCACTCATTGTGCTACAGAAAAGAATTTTCGTGGCCAAGAATTTTCTTTTCTTTCCAGGTCGCGGCTCATTTCTTTTCCGCGTATACTTCCCATCCTCGATCCTCCCATCATCGATTCGAAATTCGTTCCTTTTTCAAAAAATTGCCAACACTCCCGATCAACTGAAGCTCGACGGTCGCACGAAAATCGTCCGTTTCTGTGACCCCACTAATGGTGCGAAATTCCAACGGAAATTCTTAGAAAAGATTTTCTAGAGAAAATTATTTCGGAATCGGACCCGCGTATGGCCGACTTTAGTCTAGGCTGCCAAAAGGGGAGTCGTGGTCTTATCTGTGGACTTTGCAGGACCCCCTCCAACCCCCCCCCCCCTACCTTCCTCCCACCTTCCCCCCTTGGCCGGGGATGAGTCCCTGGACAGACTTCTGTACATTACTCTGCAGTGATCTGTGTGATATGAGGATTGTTAATGGGACTATGATACCTTCCCCCGCAGCTGCGGCCGATCGTCTCTGAGATCGAGTATTTGCAGGACCAGCACTTGCTGCTGACGGTGAAGTCGATGGATGGATACGAGTCGTACGGTGAGTCCTTGACACAGATGTGTATGTGGGTTGTTGCTGACGACATAACTTCCCGTGCTGCACTCTTATCAGTTACATTGTTTCCC